GTTAAGTGACTTGCCCAGGGTCACACAATTAGTAAGTATCAAGTGTTTGGTCTGAGGCCAGATTTGAACTCAGATCCTCCTGACTTCAGGGCTGGTGCTCTATCCACTAAGCCACCTAGCTGCCCCTTTCTCTTTCTTCTGTAGCTGTATTTCATTTGCCACTTCATCCTAAAAACTGAAAATGCTCATTCAGTCCAGTTTCCTGTGTGGCAAGAGCTCAACTTTTACTATAATAAAAGTAAAAATACTAATAACTGATATTTATAAAGCATTATACAGACATTATCCCATTTGAATCTCACAAGAAACCCATGAAGCAAGTGTTATTATTTTCCCCATTTTACAGATGAGGAAACTGAGGCAGAAAGGTTAAATGACTTGCCCAAGGTCACACAACTAGTGAGTATATCATGCCAAATTTGAACTCAAGTCCTCTCTACTCCTAGTCCAGTGTTCTATCCACTGTGCCCCCTTGACTCAACTTCTCTAAGACTCAAATTCATCATCTGAAAAATGGGGATAATAGTAGGTACCTACTTCCTGGAGTTGCTGGGAGAACCAAATGAGAGAATACATATAAAGTACTTTGCAAACTTTGAAGTGCTATAGAGATGCTAACTATTATTACTATTGTATTATTATCACTATCATTATTGACTTGCTCAGGGTCACACAGCTAGTAAGCGTCTGAAGTGGGACTCAAACCCAGGTCTTCTGGGTGCCTGAATCAGCACTCCACCACTACAACATCCACGTTTAGCATTAGAGAATATGAGAGCTGGTCCTTGCTGTGAGACAGCCCAAAACTGAAGAAGGGCCAGATTTGTCTTCTTCCCACTTAACAACTCTGCAGGTTGGAACGGGAAGGGACTTCCTAAGATCACACAGTTATTGGCAATCCAAGACTGGAACTCTGGCTGGCTCCTTCAAACAGCGTTCTTTCCATTTGTCCAGGCTGACTATCGATAATCTCCTGGGTCTGTTGACTTTTCTTTCTCTGTACCTTGGGAGCATTTTTTCTATTCTGGGTCTCTGTAGTTAGAATTAACATCTGTGATGTGATATAAATGAAGGTCACCCCCATCTGGTGCCTGGAAGGGAAGGGAAGGCTTCAGCTGGCACAGAGAGCCAGAACTAAGAATCCTGGCACTGGGAAGACATTCAGTTAATGGGAAAGGGAGGCAAAGTGGAAGATATAAGCACTTTATGAGTGGTTGTGGTAGACTGGAGACAAAGGTCGTGTGTAATTGAGGAGGCTGAGGAGCTAGAAGGCAAGGGTGTTCAAGGCAGAGAAGACTGGGAGTCTGGTACGCTAGGGGGGTATGCTAGAGATTCAGAAATGATAGCTGCAAGGATGTTAGCATTACTAGGATGGAGTAACCTTTCCCCTCCATTTTACACCTTCCTTCTCCCTTCCTTCCTATGTTTCTTACTGCTAACAGACACAAAATCACCTCCCTCCCTTTCCAACACCCTCACAATGGCATCACACACTGCCTTGAGCTGTGGCTAATTATGTGACAATGGAATGGGGTTGCTAAGGGGAACTGTGGAATCTCTTTCCCTAGAGGTCTTTGAAGATGAGAGATTTCTTTCAGAATAGGACATTTCAGATTGAGTTCTACCTCAAGGTAGGAAGATTGACTTCATGAATTTTAGAGAGCCTCTATACCCGTAGAGGTTTTAGGATTTTCAATCAGAGTTCCCTCTTTTACAGAAGGGGTGCAGCATAAGGGACATCTGGTCTCAGAACTGGAAAGACACAGGTTCAAGTCCCACTTTTGACAACTACTGGCTGTGTGATTCTGGCATGTCCCTTAGTCTGTGAGCTGCCTGTGCAGCTTTGTGTGGAGGAGGAGGGAGAAGAAATCCCCATGCTAATCAGCTTTTACACAGTCCTGCTCATTGGGGAGCAATCGGGAGTTCCCTGGGTCATCCTAGCAAGGTACCAGCAAGGAGCTGCAGCACTTGGCCAGCTCCTCCCCAGGGTCAGGAAACCAGGGATTCCCATAATCACCCACCACACTAAAAGAAACCCATTATCATTTCTAATCATTAAGTGACATAAATGATTTTCAGTTCATGTGTCCTAATACCTTAATAAGTACAATTTTATGCAAATTGAAACAATCAGAAAGGAAACACAGGATTGAATCTAAGACGGTAACCAAGTCTAAACCCAGTAGGAGAATGCACTCTCCTCTCCCCACTCCCCATGAGAGTGTTTCCTAATAATTTACACAAGAAATACAGTCAGGAGTCACCAGTTCCATTCTATAGTCTTTCTCAACAGGAAATTAGGACTAGTCACTCGTCTGTCAACCTCAATTTCTCTCCTGGTAATAGCACAGTAAGATTGTTCATTTTGGGTCCTTTAGAGATATTGTAAGAAATAA